TCGTCGGGATCAAATTAGGTATAAAATGATAAGTAATTTGACCTGACGATTATAATAACTATTGAACTAAAAAGAAGAAATTATTTTAAAAGGACCAACATATTTAGCGCCAGTGCCACGGCCCCTTGGCCCCTTAGGGCCAGGCGCCTCTGGTTTGCAATGAATTTCCAATTATTTTTCTTTTGTGGTTGAAATTATTATTATTTATTATTGAAAGTTTTATTTGAAGTAAGTTTTTGATGAATAGTCCTTTCAGATTTTAAATAGTGGGCTTCAAAATCAAAATTGTTCCAGATTACATATAATTTCCCAGACCTAAAAAATTTCGAAGTGAATCCGTTTATATGACCTTTTTCTTACTATTAATACTAATTAATACTAATTAGATCGGTAGCATACGTCCGGCTTATCTAGAACCAGCAAACCTTGATATCATATGGCTAAAATTCACCTCAAAGTCATCTACCAAGTTTATCTGCTGCCTCTACCGACCGACATCTAACACCGAGTACCAAAACTTTTTCGCGACATTATCTGAAAGCTGTGATAGTATACAGTCAAACTATCTACAGGCGGAAATTGTCTTTTTAGGCGATTTCAACGTCCACAATATACCCTGGCTGAAACACCACAACAAAACAGATAACGAAGGCAGAGAAGCAGAAGCTTTTGCCATAAGTTGTGGTCTAACGCAGCTTGTCGATGAACCTACCCGTATCTCAGAAAGGGGCGAATTTGCAGCGCTTTTAGACTTGTTCCTAACCACAAATCCTGACTCGTACACAATTCAAGTAGATGCTCCACTTGATTCGTCCGATCATAAACTTATAATAACAAAGTGCGAAATGCTCATCCCACCAAGCCAACAACCACTTCCTCGTAAAATGTGGCACTATAAATCGGCAAAATGGAATGACCTAAAACAGTTTTACCTGGATTTTCCATGGCAAGAGGTTTGCTTTAAAACAGCTGATCCCACTATTTGCTGTAATGAAATAACACAAGTAATCTTATCTGGAATGGATGCATATATCCCACATACAACTAAACGTAGAGCTAATGCAAAACCTTGGTTCAACAGCCAGTGTCAAACGGCTGTACAGAAAAAACACAGAGCATATAACCTTTGGAAACGACAACAAACCGCTCAAAACCACACAGAATTTATAGAAGCCAGAAATAGTTGCAAAATTACTATTGACTCCGCTGAAGAAACATACAATCAAAGAATAAAAAACAGGTTGCTGAATTGTCCAAGTAGTTCTAGGTCCTTTTGGTCTCTTGCAAAAGCTGTTGGATCTAACTTCACCAAGTCATCCATACCACCACTTACAGATAAAAATAATCACTTAGCCACAACATCAGAGGAAAAAGCCAATATGCTGGCCCAAATGTTTTCCTCCAACTCCAACCTAACAGTGCCAAACGGAAAAACTCCACCGTTCATTGAAAGGGTTTCCCATAGTATGCCAGAGGTACCCTTTTGTCACAGAGAAATACGAAAATCCCTTAAAAAGCTAGATACAAACAAAGCAATGGGTCCGGATGGCATTCCCGCAATAGTACTCAAAAATTGCGCCAACGAACTCACCCCAACTTTCGCAAAATTATTCAATTTGTTTTACAGGCAAGGAGTATATCCATCATCATGGAAGTCTGCCGCAGTACAACCCATTCCAAAGAAAGGAAAAAAGACAGATCCGTTAAACTATAGACCAATTGCTCTACTTCCGGTGATATCAAAAGTAATGGAAAGAGTTGTGAACAATCACCTAACCAAGTACTTGGAAAAGTACAAAATTATCAACGATAAGCAATACGGATTTCGAAAATATAGGTCAACTGGCGATTTACTTACATACGTCACTCACTTATGGCAAAAAGCGATTGAGTTGCGGGGTGAAACAAGAACAATTGCCTTAGATATATCTAAAGCATTCGACAAAGTTTGGCATGAAAATCTGCTCAACAAGCTCAAAGCAATGGGATTAACGCCGAAACTTTGCACTTGGTTTGAAAGTTACCTAAAGGACAGATCCATTTATGTTGCACTGGATGGCCAGAACTCCAACTCTTACCAAATAAATGCTGGTGTGCCACAGGGAGCAATCCTTTCGCCAACTCTTTTTCTGATTTACATAAATGACCTCATAGATAAAACAGTAAATCCACTTTATTGCTTTGCAGACGATGGCAATGTAGTCTCCTCACTCATACCACCCACAGGTCTTTCCGCACGTGAATTCCATCATCTTAGACTAACTCAAATATCGCAGATAAATAACGACCTGGAGATAATAGAGGACTGGGGTAACATAAACCTTGTACAGTTCAACGCGCAGAAAACCCAAGCAGCTCTGTTTTCAAAAAAGACCAGCACCGGTGAGCCAAACATCATGCTATCTGGAAGTGCTGTCACATTACAGAGTCAGTTGAACATCTTGGGGGTTACTGCAGAGACCAACATGTCTTGGCACAGTCACGTGGCAGATATTGCTAAAAGGGCGTCCCAAAAGCTGGGGGTGCTATTTCGTACAAGACATCTGTATACACCAAGCCAATTGCTGACACTCTACAAAGCCCAGATTCGACCAACTATAGAGTACTGCTCACATATATGGAGTGCAGCACCCAAACATACCTTAATGCTTTTGAACACCGTGCAAAAACGAGCTATCAAGCTGTTCAATGACCCCGCACTTACTCGTAACTTGGATGGTCTCGAACATCGCAGATCTGTGGGCGATTTATCTCTCTTCTACAGGTACTATCACGGAAAATTCTCTGAAGAGTTGGCACGTATGATTCCACCGAGAGTAGCGCCTACCAGGCGAACCCGTCAAACAGACGGTAACCATGAATTTACTGTCAAACTAGAGGCACCTAGAATCTCATTATATCAGAATTCATATCTCTGGAGAACAGCATCGCTGTGGAATAAACTCCCTGCGACGGTTTTCCCTGCAGGTAACAACCTAAACCGTTTCAAGACCAACATACACCGACATTTCCGCGCACTTGCCGCTTCTCGAGCGTGATAGGACATTTCCTTGCGAGTGCGCATATCCATAAAAAAAAAAAAAAAAAAAAAAAAAAAAAAAAAAAAAAAAAAATCCTGACAATTTTGGCTAGGTTCATAGTAGCAAGTTCTAGAAAGTAGCAGCTACGTTCACACTTATTCAAGTTACACATGCTGATAATTCATTGCATAAGATTATTATTGTTGTTTTTAGCATTGTGAGTAACATTCAAATATTGTAGGCAAATTATCAGGCGCGGCTCGTAAGTTTTTTTACAGGTGGGTCAAATTAAGAGGGACAGCGCCGCAGGCTAAAATAGCGCCTTAGGCGAAAACTTTTTGGTATTAAACTAAATTTTTTGGCATTAGTTTTTGTCTTTTTGTAGGAATTTACCGCTCATTCATGGTCATTTTGAAATTTGACAATTGATGACGTAGATGTTGGGCTAGTTAGCGGAGGAGAGGTGTAATATCCTTGCTCCTAATTTCAGGTTATGTCTTTATGTCTTACGTAAAGTAGAAAACAACAGGTTAGAAGCCTTTTTAGAATTCGTGCAATAAGTTAGTAAATATTTAATTAATAAAGAAAATACAACAACGATTTGGTTAATTAGACCCAACCCTACATTTTAAATAGAAAAAATAACTTAGGTCTTTTCTTAGTCTCTATCTCTATCTCTATCTCTATCTCTATCTCTATCTCTATCTCTATCTCTATCTCTATCTCTATCTCTATCTCTATCTCTATCTCTATCTCTATCTCTATCTCTATCTCTATCTCTATCTCTATCTCTATCTCTATCTCTATCTCAATCTCAATCTCAATCTCAATCTCAATCTCAATCTCAATCTCAATCTCAATCTCAATCTCAATCTCAATCTCAATCTCAATCTCAATCTCAATCTCAATCTCAATCTCAATCTCAATCTCAATCTCAATCTCAATCTCAATCTCAATCTCAATCTCAATCTCAATCTCAATCTCAATCTCAATCTCAATCTCAATCTCAATCTCAATCTCAATCTCAATCTCAATCTCAATCTCAATCTCAATCTCAATCTCAATCTCAATCTCAATCTCAATCTCAATCTCAATCTCAATCTCAATCTCAATCTCAATCTCAATCTCAATCTCAATCTCAATCTCAATCTCAATCTCATCTATCTCTATCTCTATCTCTATCTCTATCTCTATCTCTATCTCTATCTCTATCTCTATCTCTATCTCTATCTCTATCTCTATCTCTATCTCTATCTCTATCTCTATCTCTATCTCTATCTCTATCTCTATCTCTATCTCTATCTCTATCTCTATCTCTATCTCTATCTCTATCTCTATCTCTATCTCTATCTCTATCTCTATCTCTATCTCTATCTCTATCTCTATCTCTATCTATCTCTATCTCTATCTCTATCTCTATCTCTATCTCTATCTCTATCTCTATCTCTATCTCTATCTCTATCTCTATCTCTATCTCTATCTCTATCTCTATCTCTATCTCTATCTCTATCTCTATCTCTATCCCTATCCCTATCCCTATCTATCTCTATCTCTATCTCTATCTCTATCTCTATCTCTATCTCTATCTCTATCTCTATCTATCTCTATCTCTATCTCTATCTCTATCTCTATCTCTATCTCTATCTCTCTATCTCTATCTCTATCTCTATCTCTATCTCTATCTCTATCTCTATCTCTATCTCTATCTCTATCTCTATCTCTATCTCAATCCAATCTCAATCTCAATCTCAATCATCTCAATCTCAATCTCAATCTCAATCTCAATCTCAATCTCAATCTCAATCTCAATCTCAATCTCAATCTCAATCTCAATCTCAATCTCAATCTCAATCTCAATCTCAATCTCAATCTCAATCTCAATCTCAATCTCAATCTCAATCTCAATCTCAATCTCAATCTCAATCTCAATCTCAATCTCAATCTCAATCTCAATCTCAATCTCAATCTCAATCTCAATCTCTATCTATCTCTATCTCTATCTCTATCTCTATCTCTATCTCTATCTCTATCTCTATCTCTATCTCTATCTCTATCTCTATCTCTATCTCTATCTCTATCTCTATCTCTATCTCTATCTCTATCTCTATCTCTATCTCTATCTCAATCTCAATCTCAATT